GTTGTTGTATGTGTGCTATTATCAATGCTTGTTGCTGGATTATCCTGACAGGTTACGTGATCTTCATTAATAATGTTAAATGTTTCTGTCTGTTGATGTATTTGATCGGAAACCTGTTGTTTGATAAAGTTCAAGTGTTGTTTGTGGGATAAGGTTGTTGTGTATAATTGTTCTTTTTTGATCGACAACCCTTTGTTCGGTGACAGTGAGGTGAGGATATTGTTGTGTGAATCTATGGTGTAATTGTTGTCTGTATGCTGTCATGTTTGTTTTGAGTCTTGTGATGGTGTAGTAAGTACGGATGATAAACTTGTTCATTTCTGTTGTCCATTTCATCCGTTGGCATGGTTTTCCAGCCTTTGTGGTCTGTGGATGCATTGCCACAGAAACACCAAGGCTAGGTTGATTCTTCACATCTGTTGAGGACATTGCAGTAGCCATGCTTGGGCCGATGCTGCTTTCGCCACCGGTAACCAAGAGAGACTGTGGCCTATTTTTCGAATGTGAGCCTCTGCCTAACCCACGAACACGGACCTTGTTAACCCAGGCGACGTCTGAACCGGTATCACACTTTGATATGGTTACTACCATAATAATTATCTCCACAGAATGTGGGTGTGGTCACTCTTAGCGTCATTTCTTCCCATAGACCTTACTGGCATGGGTGTCCCTACCAGGAGCTTGTGCTCCAGCCTGCATTGTTCTATGGTTCAGTAAAATTATAGTGGTACCTCAGGATACGAAATTAATCCGTTCCGAAACTGAGATCGTATCATGAAAATGTCGTAAGGTGAATCATTTTTCCCCATACGATTACACGTAAAACCAAATAATTCGTTCCAACGCGAAAAACATACTCAAATTAAAGCCAAGTAATACATTAAAAAAATAACTGTAGTAAGAAAAACAAATGAAAAATGCAAACTAATGTAACGTCGTATGGTAAGTTTTTGTTTGTATCGTGGAGCAAAAATATGTTCAAATTTCATGTCGTATCCTGAAAATTTCGTATGCTGGGGCGTTCGTAACCTGAGGTACCACTGTACTAGGCTCTCCCACCACGACCAGGTGGTGACCACGGGAGAGTTATTATTATTATGTTGGGTTTAGTGGGTTATACTCGGTTCACACCTGTGGCTGTGTACTATGCCGGACCAGAGTCAAGGCATAGCAACCAAAACAAAACTAAAATTAAATAAGTGTGTCAGTGTCTGTATTCAGGAATTTCCTAACAATATGGCATGTATTCAATATAGTGGCCTTCTGTAGTGTTATGTATGTATTTCTACTCAATTGTAATGTTCCCAGGCTTTTGTGTAGTGTGTGTGGTAACTCACCTGTACTGGAGAGAACAACAGGTACAATAAGCACCCTATCCATCCTCCATAGATGCCTTATTTCCTGGGCAAGTTCTGTGTACTTGCTAATTTTTTCAGTGCATGTGTTTTGTACATTGTGAGTGTTTGGAATGGCTATGTCTATAATGTATGTGGTTTTATTGTGTTTGTCAATAAGTGTGATGTCTGGTCTGTTATGGTAAATTGTTTTATCTGTGATTATGGCTCTGTCGTAGTACAGTTGGCTCTGTTGTTTTCCAGTACTGTCTGTGGAATGTATTTGTAGTATGGTTCGTGCATGTCTAATGATTTGTGTTTCTTTGCAAGCTCTTGGTATATTATATTTGCTACTTGATTATGTCTATGTAAGTAATCTGTCTGTGCCAAAAGCTTGCACCCAGATGTAATGTGTTGTATAGTTTCTAGCATGATGTGACATTTTCTGCATGTGTCATTTGTGAGTGTTGTATCTTTGAGTATGTGTTTCTGTAGTTTTTAGTATTTATGACCTGATCCTGTATGGCAATCATGAATCCTTCTGTCTCCCCAAAGAGGCATCCCCGATCTAACCAGCTGTTTGACGCAGTTTTGTCAACAAAATCCTGGGCCAGGTCATAAGGATGCCTGCCATGGAGTGCCTTTCAAGCCCATGATTGCTTGATGGTGTCTATGCTTTTTATGTGTTGTGTCATGTCTGTGTGATGTGAGTGTAATTATTATTATTATTATTATTATTAAGAGTAATAGATCACATTATTAGATGACCTATCATCTCTTCAGTACCAATTCTTTTTGAATGCAGGAGAACAAAAAAATATTATGCACTGACATGCAATACTGCACTCAGAAATGAAACTGAATAAACAGGAAAACAGGATGCATGACATGACTAATATTTTTATTAAAACAAAAATCACAGTGGGGGTTTGCTGGATAATCAAGAGACAGGATTATCAAGAGTATACAGTATATACTGTATATCTGGTTATAATATTTAATTCTTTTGCTTATATTATTGAATTTTATTCTTATTTTTGTTTAAAGAAACACTAATTTTAACAAATTAGAGCAATAACTATTCTGTAACTAATCTTAATAATGATTAAATTAGAAGTTTAAATACTATGAAATTAAATAATTATTTATATACTTATCTATATACCATTCAAATATAGTTTAAAATTCACATTTAAGAATTTCTATTAAAAAATTATTAGAATTATTTTTTTAATTCAAAATTAAATTATTATGAAAGTATTTCTGAAATTAGATGCTTACCTGTAATTTCAGTTTCTTTCTGAACGATATAGTTTTACTGAGGAACTGAACTGAATGTTTTAAATTATTATAACATAATTCTTATTCACAACCTAAAATAATAAAAAAATATCTATGATATATTTTTAATTGAAGTAATATAGAAGATATTCATAATAATATATAACAAATATGTATTAAATAAATATATATTTTATATATTTCACAAATGAGTAATCCATTTCCAAAATATAAAAAATTGTTTTGAAGTATTGTTTATTTGAATATCATATCATTTTTTTATATCATATATCCAATTGCTATTTGATCCTTGTTAATAAAACAAGGATCAAATAGCAGCAAATGGTGTCTTAAGCTCCTTTCTGGAAACTACATTCAGCATCAAGCTACCATAGCTTTCAATTATGTCAGTATTTGCACTTTGTGTATTTATTTTGTGCAAAGTGTATCTTAAGATGCAAAAAGCCTAAGAAAGCTCTTACAAGTGTTACACTTAAATGTAAAACTAAATGTAATTAAGTGTTTTGATCATAGTGAATGAAATAAAGTATTCGTGCATGCATTGAATATTGCCTGTGTCCACCATCCATATATTTAAATACAGAGAGAAATAATCTTAAAAGCTGATGAAGTGTCTTTTGGCTTTTCTGGTAGCAAAGTGATCTTCCTTGCTACTACCTGCCACAACCACTAAATCTGACCTGACTGAGGAAACAGGTAAATAACAATAACCATATAGTTTACACAAAACTGGAGGGAAATCTAATCTTTGTGAATGAACATAAGAAAATGGATGAGCTTGTAGCCAATTTGATGAACTTAATTTATCTTAAAGATTGAAAAGATGCTCACTTAATATATTATAAGTGAGTATCTTTAATAAATCTATCTACTTAGAAAATGTTTATCTAATTACAATATCATTACATAACTTACTTTAACACTGCTCCCATTACAACAGATCCTTGTGCAAGATTTTTAAAAGGATAAGGTTTTTAACACATTAGTTTCTTTTGTCACTTACTACTTAGTATATTAATTTGTAAATTAATAAAACTTAATAAAATTATAGATATAGTGAGCATCTATAAACAGGTATTCCTTGCTTTACAAAAGATCTACATTAGTAAAAAAACATACTCTGTGAACTGATGACCAGTGTGCGAGGAAAAAAACACCTGAAGAATCGTTCTTCTTCAGGTGTTAAATATTTCTGAAGAATCAGATTAGAACGATTTGTCAAATTTTTGTAATCCAAGTGTTTTATGTTACATCAGAAATTTCATTTAACACCTGAAGAATTCAGGGTTGTTCGAAAACACTAGTGATGAACTTTCTCTTTTGTTTTTTTCATTGCACACCGGTCATCGGTTCATAGAGTCATTTTTTACTACACCCTGGTGTTGTGTGTTGTTGATCTACATTAGTACCTGTTTTTGGTAACTAAAAGAAATCCAAAGAGAATTTTTGCTTTTACAAAACAAATCAAAAATAACATTTAGTGTTTATTTTGCAACAAGCCATTTTAGAAATAGTGTGTACTCTGAACAGTGAGCAGCAATAGGCATCTCCAAGCCCTTTCCTTGTTTGCAAGCTCTTGAAACTACATTTAGCATCTCAGCATCAAACTACCATAGCTTTGAACTGTGTCTGAGCATCTGAGCATTATTTCAATTTACTTTGTGCATTTGTTAGCAAAATGTGTCCTGAGGTGAAAAAAGCCTTTAGGTATGATTTAGTGGGTTAATTAATCTTGGTCAAGGAACGCTCAAAAATTTTTCCCATATAAATTAATGGCCATTTCAGCTTATGAAAAATCTCTTAGGAACATTCTACTTTCAGATAGTGGGAAAACCTTTACTTCATCATTTTATAAGTGATCATTTGATTACTAAACTAAAACAATGACTTCATTTTTAATGATGACAATGCTTGTTTTTATTAAAAAATTATTCATTTTGATATAAATGATTCATTTAAAATTTTCAATAATTATATTGTATATAGACTACTCTATGCATTTTGTATATTACAATAAGTTTCTTCAATCATATAAAAAATAATTGGCAGCAGTTAGATAATAAACATATTGAATTCAGTAAATCTTCCCAAAGCTGGTTATACACTAGTATAACCAGTTTTAGGAAGATTTAAATAGTATTCAACTCATATAAATTTTATTTGTAGAAGAGCATATCTTTTTTAAAATCATAATTTCACTAAATGATATTAAAATTTAAAATGAAATTTTCAAGAACAACATTTAAAAAATGTAAAATTTATGAATAATTAAAACTGTTATTATTAAATTCAGAATGACTATTAACAATTTAAAAATGAAAAATTCATTTTAATTAAATTTCAATTATCAAAGTAGATTAAAATGAAATAATACTACTTCAAAAACAAACTAATTTTAACAATACAGAAATAACTCTCTTTAGTTCTTTGATATTTTTAAAAGACTCCATTAAACAGAAGTTATTTAAAGAAAGAAAAAAGCAAGGAATCCTTTAAAAATAAAAAAAGTCTTAAAAAAGAACTATTAAAGTGATCCTAATTGAAGAAAGAAAAAAAAAGTTGCAAAAGGTATCATAAATATATCATGTGCTTTTGTAATTAATAAGAGATCATTTAAAATTTTTCCAGTATCAAGTTACAAATTACTTTCTCTGATTAAAAAGCCTGGCAGAGCAAAGGGACAAGAGAAAAATCACTTTCTGAAGTAGTTTTATATATTGTATTTTAAAAAGTCTCAAAATAATTCCTTCAATAATTGTTATTTAAACAATATACTTATTTAAAAAAGAATCCATGTCACATTTAGATAACCTTGATCTTTACATAGTACTAAAAATAATAAATTCGCATAAATGAACAAATTATGCATTAAAATAGAATTTAAATAAAAATATAATTTTTCACCTTGAATACACACACTATGGAATAAATGTGATGATATCATCAAACCTATATTTAATTAATCAGCAGTTTTTTAATGTTAGCATTAGAAGCGTGTTAATACAATATTAACCGTAATTCCTTATAATTAAAATATGTTGATTTTAATACATAATTAAGTTACTACCCATAAGAAAAGATAGCAACAGTATTTTAAATCTTAAATAAAAAAAAAAACATACTTTCTTGATAAGAATACGTTAAACATATATAAAATGTGTTAAAATATACAAAGAATTTTACAATTATAAAAGAAATGCGATTATAATATTCAAATACACGAAACAATTCATTTGTCAAATAGGCGTGCACGGTAACATGTGACTACACACCTCAGTGACCTCACACAGGTAATAATAATACAAAAAAAAAAAATTGAAATTTAACATTCTTAATTGAACTGACCTTATTAAACTGTTAATCTTTTATATCAGAAATAAAAACAAAAGGAAATCTACGATGATCCATCATTCTACACATTCTGCAAAATACATAATTATGCCCATAGAAACAATAGCTACTACTTTCTTCTCTAACATCAGCGCCATCTAGTTGCAGTCATTTTTAAAATGTCAGGTAAATGTGGACAATGGTTATTATTAACAAATTTAAATAATGAGTTAATATAACAATATTTTTATTCATTTGTACGCAAATTTAATTACTATATTTGTCGATCGTATTTAATGACATACATCTACTGCGATTAAAATAAATGTAATTAATATTTTTTTTTATTTCGTGTCATTTATTTATTTTATTTTCCAGTGTCCCCGCCAAGTTTTCCTGTGTGTGTGAGGAGATAACTGATATTTAGAGAAGTGTAAGAGTAGCTTAGCCAGATTTATTTTCAGAGATAATGTTGATTTATATACTTTTTGCGGCATCTGATATACACGGTATAAAAAAAATAAACAAATAAATATTTTAAAGTTGGAATTTAAATTCAACATGCCATTAAATCACACAGAGTAGTCCATAAACTCCTCATAATTGTCGAGTTTATCAGCAAATCTGTTATAATTATTATAGACACGATAAGCAATTCAGCAAGTTTGTATTGTACATTTGTATAGCCTATACTGTATTTTTAATAATAATTGCAGTAAACTATGAATGAATCAATTTTTAAATATAAAAGTAAACTTTTGTACTTGTTTATAAATATAGTAATTTTATAATTTAAAAGTTCTTAAAGATATAAAATGGCTGAGGAGAAAAGGTATACATTTAATATACACTATAGAAAACATTTCTGAAGTTATGAAATAAAGAGCCGATTTGTGAGATGAAAAGAAACATTCTGGAACAAATAATTTTTATCTAATTTATTATCAATGCCGTCTTTTTGACAGCCAGGAATATTATGCTTTATATAGGATAACTATCGAAAAACAAACAAAAGATTAAAAATAGTTTCAAGTAAATAAATTAGTCATTCAATGTTCTCTTTTTATTTATTTATTTATTTTTAAACAGAATCAAGAAAAAGGATTTCTACTCAATTGAAGACGAAACGATTCTCGAAACAAAGGAACAAAGTTTATAGGCTTAATATTATAGGTTTGAGTTTCGGGGAGACAACAAAAAAGGACTATTTTAATCCTACACCTAGAACTATTAAAATACTTATAAATAATATATTAAATTGTGAAATTTTATAATAATATCTAAAGGTAGGGAAAGAGAGGATTAAAAATGATCTTACCTGATTTTGTTTAAATTGATTTCTTGATTTAAAATAATTGACCCGTTCATTGGTCATTACAACCGACTGAAAATTTGAAGAAGAAAGAAATCGGGCAAAGGCTTTTCTTTGACTATTTCGGCACTCGAACAGGTTTTAAGAGGATTATGGAAATTCGTAGTATATAAGATTAAAGCAAAAAAAAAAAAAAAAAAAAAAAAAACGGAAGGTTGCGGATGAGCACAGGCATTTCCAAGAAAAGTGGAAATTTGATTATTTTTTCACTTTCGTCGAAGATAAANTGAGGGGTACAATCTACAGATATGACATGTCACGGGGTACAATCTAGAGATATGGCATGTCACGGGGTACGCTAATGAAAAAAGGTTGGGAACCACTGATATAGGCGATTATAGCATGAATGGAAGTTTGGCACACGAGCGGAGCGAGGGGCCAATTTCCATGAATGCCAAATCGCTAATTATAAACGAATTATCATACGGTATTTTGTGGTTAGACTACATCTATAGCTTATAAAAATCGAAATTATGTATAAACACAGTGTTTGTGTCAACCGTAACATAAACACTGTTTCTACTTGATTTTGAGTTTCATAAGTGTAGTCAATCACAAAAACAGTATAATACTAGCTGAAAGTTAAAATCGTGTGATCCATCTGTTACGAGATATTATTAAAAAAATAATAAGTTTTTGAGGTATAGCTCCATCCCCTTCATATCTTCCGAATCCATTGCCCTATTTTCCTGAAAAATTTCTAAAAACATTTTCCCCTAATACATAAATTCCCCTACAAAATTTCAGAAATTTTCAACAAAAGGACAGGAGTTATTGAAGCTTCAAAGTGGGGGAAAACATGTCCCCATACACTAACACCCATACAAACAGGAAAAAACCCAACATTTTAAGGTTCTACGAGTCCAAAAAAGTAAAAATCTTGGTTATTTTTTAACCAATCGGCAAACTTTCCCCTATGTTATAACAGCCAGAAAAGTAAAATTGTCTAAAAACGATTTTCTGACTGATTTGGAGACCATTGATATGAGGATGAAATTTTAAAACTGAAACGATTTACGGAGTACCCTTTGTTCTGGGTGATATTTTTTTAGTATTGGTTTCTTCTTAAACTGGGAAGAAAATGATACGGCTTCGTTTTCTTGAGGGTTGATATTGATAACGATGGAAAGCATGTATCCGAAAAGGTGTTAGACTTAAACTGTAGGAGAAAAAATATAATTTATATTTTGGATCCCAACAGAATATTAAACTTATCTTCGCTAGAGTTTCGAGATAGTTTTATTTTGCAAACTCGAAAAATACAATTAATTTAATTTGACTCTACATTCTATATTGTATCTTTGATACACAGTATATATTTATATACAGTGCGTTTAAACGCGTAAATGGCAAACTATAAATGTAATAATAAAAAAAAGCGAAATAGTTTTTATGCTCGATCTCATTTAGCTATGCAGAATCCCGAAAATATTCTGGAATAAACAAAACATTGCTTATGTCCAATGAAAAGCTGCCTATCTTGAAGCAACGTCACTCCACTTTAAAATTAATTTGTCGTTATATTTGTTTTTGATTTCAATTTTATGTATTCTATGTTTTAATATTTTTTGATACAAAAATACGTATATTAAGCATCTGTAGCCTAATTGTAGTTTTCATCACAGAAAAATAATTACTTTTATCATCGATAGACAAATATTTTTACTTTCCCGGCTGTTAAATATATATATAAAACAGAAAGAAAGTATGGTAATCAGTCAAAAAATGACCCATAAAGATAAATCTTGAAATGTCTAGAAATGCAAAAAAGTTTGGGGTTTTTCTGTATGTATGTGTAAAGTGGCACGATTTTGTTCACCTATTTTGAAGCTCAATAACATGTGTCTTTTGTGGAAAATATCTGAAATTTACAGAGAGATTTATATGTTAGGGAATTGATGCTATTAATTATTAGGGGTTAAAGATCAAGGGGGAGATCTTGTCGTATCTCGAGTCAGGTAGAACTTTTTTGAATTAAGATTTTACTCATTATTAGCATTTAAAATTGTTTATAAAATTCACTTCTACCCTCAAAATCCAAATCATTTTTGCAATTTTAGAATAATACTAGCCTATAAAAAGTTTTCTAAGATAAAATTTCGTAACAGATGGCGCTAAACGCAATTTTAAAATTTTTACGGGGGAAGTTGAGCAAGTCGTTGCTGAATTTTTTCTGTTTGCCTTATAGGAGCTTTTTGCACGCCTATCAATAATTCGATCAAGATCACAGTTAGACAAAAACATAAGACGATGAGAGAAGAGGCTCTAATTCTGAGTCTGACTCGAAAAATTTGACGAAAAACCATTCATGAAATTTTCAAGTCACTCAGAAAACGAAATATTTTTCAGCTGATTCGGTCTCCAGTAAGGGTTCTGCAGAACATCTGGCCGTACATGGGATATCGTTGTAAGTTAATGCTTGTTATCATTTATTATTTATTTATTTAAGTCTACCTAAAGTTAAAAGTTTTGATGATATCTGATAAAAATATAGAAGTCATAAGAAAAACTTTCACTGTTTATTTAAATTTGATTAAGTATTTTCTTGCATAGAATTATTATTCTATGCATATTTTTATTATTTTATAATGATTTAAATGTTTCTTCGTAATATAACAACAATCTGAACAATTATCAGAAATTAGTGTTTTTTTTTTTTTTTGTTCTTTCTGCCCTGCGGGCACCACGAGGACCGTTTTAATCATATCCATGAGTTATATCCGGCTCAGAATACCGCCCATGAGAAATTTCTGGGTTGCTCGCTCGAATTCAATTTCGGGTTTCCCAGAGCGATGAGTTTATTTTTTTTTTCAACTAGCTTTTACCACAGTAGTAGTTTTTTGTTTCGTAATTAGTCGATTTAGTATGGGGAAGCTTTCCATTAGCAACAGTCACCGTTTTAAGATAGTACATTGGTTACGTATGTTTAGAAATGTTTAGATTATTCCTAAGATTATATTATATGAAATTAAAAGAAGATTACAATAGCACTGGAATAATTCGATCAATTATATATCAATTTATAAGATATTATTATGAAAGTGCAAGTTCAAAAATATTAATCAAAAGACTTTATATTTAAAACAATTTCATTGGTTACTTCATGTATCAATGGAAATATATTTCAAAATACAGTAGAGTCTTCGTTAACGGAATTCAAGCAACCAAAAACAACAATAACAATTTTATTCCAGCCTGGTACAGTACATGCTGTGACCAACCAGTGTCAGAGTGTATAAAAGCACTGAACACTGATCGTGTTCAGTGTTCGGAAAACTCCACGCGGCCAACGGGTTGGCCGCGTGGAGTTTTCCGGATTTTCTTCACGTTAGTAACACCTAAATAGGGGACACTTTTCCTTAAAAGACCTCTCGGGAGACATTTCCTTCTGCAGATTGCCCCAATGTGTCGTGTTACTGCATACAAATAAAACCAAACCCAAAGTAAGTGAAGTACGGTACATGTCAGTATCACTAATGCACAACTGGCAAATTAAACATAAGTTAAATATGTGAGGACCCAAACCGGGTCCGAAGAGAGGCAATTAACAACTTTTTGAACGAGTCAAGTTTCGTAGCTCGAAAGAGCGAACTTAAAGATCGGATTTAAAGAATGAACCTTTTGTCTTGTTAAAAGATTTTAAACAATAGATAAAGTCGAGGAAAACGCGGTTGGAGAGGAGTCCTGTTCCGACGCGACGTTGACCTCCCCCGCGCCCTTCCTTGGGTTTCGACTGTGACGAGGAGAGACCAATGGAGAGGCGACTGCGGTGGAAAAATCGATAAAACCGCGTTTTCGGGAACTTTACGGGGTCTTGGGTTTTGGTACGTAGTGTTACCCTGCTGGGATTTGGTGCTCACGATAGAGACACAATGAAGGCTCTTTCGACGCCCTAGGCGCTGGTTTCGCCAATCCGTCACGTCCAGAATCGTCGAGGTTCGACCCGTCCACCGAGGATATCTCTACAAGTGCTGGTGCGTGCCCCGGGCCATCGTTCTCTGCGTCCAGCGTGCCGAAAATACCCAAGAACCGATCGAACTGTCGAACTTTTCCGGTTTTATAGGAATTGTGATAGTAACCCATCGTTGGATAGGCTTTCGCTTGACATATTGAATTGTTGTAAGAACAATTTATGTATATTATTAAACGGTTTTATATGGTAAACCTGTCTCGGTGAGTCATTCTGCGCCCACTCGACAGTATTGACCGCTCGGCTGTCGAAATCTCCTCACCTTAATCGGCTAACATCACAAATACATATTTTACGGTTACCATTAAAAGTCACATTAATAATAAATTAACAATATAAAACTTATAAAGGAGAAGGTGGCTTTATGGAACCCCATTTTCATTATAGTGAATTGTAAACAAGGTATTATAACTACACCAACATTTCTTGTGCGAAAAGTACTGGTAACTATTAAAATAGATGTTCCTAATTGGATTTTACGCTAGCGTAACTATAAGTATTGCTTTTGAAGGCTTCTGTACAAAAAGTCAGAAAGTAGGCTTAGGGAAAACCGGTGGTAATATGGAATCTTAGTCTATGTTTTCAAAAAAATGCTTTAATGTATCCAAAAACAAATAGGAAAGTACAAAGAATGTTAAATACGTAATTACAAAATTATTTACTCCAATGTGTTTTATTGCAAAAATGATTTAATAATAATAATAATAAAGAATTGTACAAATAATAAGCTCATCATTTACAAAAATTACAAATATAATGCTCCTATAGTGTTAGGTAACTATTTTTATTTTTTTCATTTTCCTTCTATTTTTTCATTCATCTACCACATACTTTTACAAAAGTTAGACGGTTTTCATATTAAAAGCACCAATGGGGTCCGTATTTCACGCATCGCCATCTTGAATTAACTTATGTCTGTCAAGTCCAAATTTTAAAAAACGTGAACATCACACAAATTAATATGTACTCCTAAGTCTCTGGAACGGAATACATGCACTAGTGAACCTACAATTACACGATTTATATTATAAAAATAATCAAATTCACTTAGCATTCAAAACTTTCGAATTCCGAAGAACACAAATATGCTAATTCACTACGGATAACCGTTTAACTGAAGCGAAACGGGTTTTCCCCTTGCTATGGATGTTTTCCTAGTGCAGTTCAGCCACAATCTGCTATAGTTCGCCTTTATTATCAGTTTGAAATGGAGGGGTTCCATAATACCTGCAGGGTTCCATGATACCACCTTCTCCCTATATATATGTTATGGACAAATTGATTAATAGGGTATTATGAATAATGACTAAAATGGACGCTCAGTCTGATAAATATTGATTAATTTATTAAATTGACCAGACATTATGAATAAAGCTATATTCCCTTCAGACAATTTGATTAAAAAACTCCACTTATTTCATTTAGAATTATATATTTTTTTGTGAATTATTTCAAAATATTAAAAAAAACATGTAATCTTTTGAAAGTAAGCACTATTAACTGTATTAATTAAACTAATATTAACGAAAAGTATTATTAACAAATTTATACTTCCATCAAAAAATCAACTTACAGGAAACTTGTGAAATTTCATTTTTGGTAAAAATTATATAAAAAACTAGCAGGTGAGCCCGGCGTTGCTCGGGCAAAAGTAACGATAACTAAGATTAAGATTATTACGTTACAGTCAACATTACTCATTTTCACAGAGTAAGAGTGAAATGAAACGTAAGACAGGAAGAAGACTTAACACTTCCATTGTTGATGGAAGTGTTAAGCCTTAATCCTGTCTTTTTCCTCCCGGGGGGGGGGAAATTTCGAAAAATCCCTTCTTAGTGTGCGTTCTCGTGACGTACCCTAACTGTGTACCAAATTTCAACTTTCAACTCCTAACCGTTTGGGCTGTGCGCTTATTATTATTATTATTATTATCAATCCGTCTCGATTATATTATAGATTAAATGTTTTTAGTTTATTTATTCCAGCAATTAAGATTTTGATGACATTTGGAATTACGTAACTTCTTTCTTTGTAGCATTTTCTTTGTCGCATCTATTAGATTTGTAACCAGTTTTGCAACAGCATCGACTATAGTCTTGGCCTACAGAAATTGATGACATTCTTGCACATTCTCTAAGCGAAGTTTTTGCAACCGGTACATATCCAACAAAAATGAAGTTTTCTTTACAAACAGTAAATTGGTTTCTGGAATATCATAGATTGAATATGCCATGTTTGGTACCCAGTTTGTAAAGGTTTTTATCTTTAACCACAACAACAATACCTAAAATATTTTTTACATCATTGCGGGCTCGATCTACATCTGGTACACGAATCACTGTATCATCAACATTAGCTGTTGTGTATTCGGAATTCGATGTATCAATCATTTTTTTCTGATTGCTTTTTAAGATTAAACAAAGCCATTTCCCTTGTTTTAGACACACTTATTTTTTCTTCTATTTTTGAATCAACTGTTTATATTTTTTCTTCTTCATTTACCAATTCTGTAATACTAATAACATTCTGGTTTAGATTTTTTTCTTATGAAGACGATGCAGACCTTTGAATTTCATCAATTATATTGCTATGTGAGGGTGGCATTATCAAATAATCTTTTGCAATGTTTTCTTGGACGGTACCTAATCTTTCAGAGTTTGAGCAACTTTGACTTACTTCGTCGATAGTTTTAAAAAGTCTTTCTAGATCCTCCTTTCGTATTAACGTTGGTCAACGATTCTCTGCCGTTATCGCAAAGTTAAAAGTTGGACTAAAGAATTTTATACCCAACGAATCGTTGGGTATAAAATTCTTTAGTCCAATTTTTAACGTTGCTCCTAACATGACCTCATAGGGACTGCAGTTTATATCAGTACGATGCGCTCGATTTTTCATCACTTTTACAAAACGTAATCCTTCCGACCATTTGTTAGTATTGTTAGTCTCCAACCAAGAACTAAGCATATTTTCTACGTCTTGATTACATCTTTCTACCGAACCCTGATTTTGTGAGTGCCTGGGCTTTCCATGCACCATTTTTAACTCAAGCCACATATTACACATTTCTTTGATGACATTATTGGCGAATTCTCTGTCGTTATTGCTTTGTAGAATACTTGGTGCATCGAAAATTGTAAAAATGTGTAAAAGAACATACGCTACAACTTCAGCCCTTTTGGTTTTTAACGGTCGTAGTTGAACGAATTTTGTTAGATGCTCTTGATACACGAGTATAAATTTGTATTGCTCATCGGCTTTCGACTGCATATCTATAAGATCGACGTGACATTTTGAGTTCATTTCATTACACAAAATTGGTTTAACTACCAATTTTGTGTAATGAAATGCCCTTCTTAGGAACATTCTGTTTTTTATGACAGATTTCACACAAGTTCAAATAAATTATGATAATCTCCCTTGTAATATTTTTATATTTCGTACTTAATTCTTTTTCCATACGATTTCTACCGCCATGTCCAATAGCAATATGGGCATCATGCAATATCTGAAATATTTCTTCAGTGTGAACGTAATATTTAATCGCATTACCTTCTTTTACAAGCATAATTAATTTTTCTAAATTTCCGATAGATATAACGTAATATCTATGTAAACGCTGATATTCTTCCGGTAACTTTCAACAGAATTGTACAATCTGCGGTGTTCCCGACGGTTCTCGGCACTATCTTTTAGAATGCCCTATGTTAGACGATATGCGGACGCATTACTGCACTTTTACCTAACAATTGCGGATGGCCACCTGATCTTAGTATTTTGATTGGAGATAACAACCTGTTCCAAGCCACTAGAGACCTTAATAAAACATATTTTAAAAGGACCACTGTAATTTAATTCCATATGTCTTTTTAAGTCATATGTAATTTTTCTCTTTTACATGTACTATTGTATTTGCGTTATGGCGGCTGTTATTGTTATTTGTTGCTTTATACAATGTAACAAAATATCCAAAAGCTTTTAACCCTACTTTTACCACTACTGGCAAGCGGCCTGTAGTGATTGTAAATATTGTTATTGATGTTTATTGTTTGTTCATATGTTTTCATGTATATTGTGTATCATTTTATACTCTATGAAAATTTGTATTACAAAATGACCTGTTACATCTGTAACATTTATGTATTCTTACCTCGGCTATGCCTAGCGGTGTCGAGGCACTTGTAAATAAAGGATTTAAAAGTGGNTGTTCATATGTTTTCATGTATATTGTGTATCATTTTATACTCTATGAAAATTTGTATTACAAAATGACCTGTTACATCTGTAACATTTATGTATTCTTACCTTGGCTATGCCTAGCGGTGTCGAGGCACTTGTAAATAAAGGATTTGAAAGTGGAAAAAAAGTGGTAACTTTCACTTTTTGTATCATAGACAAATATGCTGATTTTGTAAAAATTTGATTGCTCTGACCTTTTTCTGCTATTAACTCGTTTAATCGGTTGTTGAAGCGATTATTCATATCAGTAGTAGTGGTTTGACACATACTGATCACAAAATTAATTTCATGAGTAAATTGCAAATAAAAATTTGTTGAATGGAATTATTTCAGATCACAAAATTAATTTTTTGAGTAAATTACTATCGAATAAATTAAAATTGCAAATAAAAATTTGTTGAATGGAATTATTTCAGATCNTGAATGAGAAAACTGGAAAAGCTTAAATATAATAAACTAATTTAATCTATTAATGTAAAAATAAAAAAAAATTTCAAACATAATTTTGTTTTGGTGTTATATTATTTCATACAATTGTCGTGTTTTAATTTTCTCGGATATTAAAACATTTAATAATTAATATAGAAACTCTGGCTTATTGTTAAAATAAAATAAATTTAATTTAAATTTGTAATTAAAAAATTAATTTTGTGATCAGCATGTGTCAAACCACTACAACTCAGAATAAATAATTGCTTATTCTTATTGTGTTTTTACTAGTTTTGCATGTATTTATTCTTCCTCTATACAACATATGACACATGGAGTATTATTTATATTTGAGTATAGGGATTTAGCTGTTTCTTTAGTGAAATATTGTTACAGCATATAAGTGTGTAGTGAAATAGGGCTCGCAATTTCTAAAAATATGNAAAAAAACCAGCCAATCATATTTCTTCTATAAAATAATTCATAATCAAAATAAAAATTAGTTCATAAAGTGAATTAGAAAATATAATTAATTTTTAAAAACATTTTAATAATTAAACTTATTGTTAAAATAAAATTAATTTAATTTAAATTTATAAAAACATTTAATAATTAATACAGAAACTCTGGCTTATTGTTAAAATAAAATTAATTTAATTTAAATTTGTAATTAAAAAATTAATTTTGTGATCAGTATGTGTCAAACCACTACTACTCATATCACTTAATGATAGCTCCATGATTTGTCAAAAAAGAAAACACTATTTTAAGAGACAAAAGTAAAATTAAAATGTCGCATAGGGATTAGCTACTGGTCGCATAACTTTAAAATTCGGTACTAAACGCAATACGCACGAGCAAATCAGATGCGAGTGATGATTGGCTAGCGTATGTTGGATGATCACTCTTCAACGTATTATTATCAATTTGCCCGACTAGGTGATAGCAGTATTCATAATGCCCATATTAATTACTTTTTCATATTAAAATATACAAAGATGAAATGTAGTAGCAGAAAGACATTTATGTGAACAATATTAGATAAAAGAAAGTCAGCCGTATTTTGATGAAAAACTGTCTTCAGTAATAAGTTGTGATTTAGGGTGATTGCGTTCACGTTACATGCCAAAGTTCTTATAGCCTGACCACTTCACTGATACCACTGCAGTTTAGAAGAAAATTTCAGTTTCTGCTGAGAGAAGACAGTCTGTGCAATAAGCTGTCTCCCTGAGATAGGGAGAAAACTTATTGCAGTAACGAAAAATGAGAATGAATTCTTATTCAATCGCAGGAACATGCGAGATGTGATGATAGCTGTAAATGAATGTGACAAGAACTTGGTAGATTTCCTTGCTAAGTAAGATGTCCTTGTCACACGGCCAGGATACCGGGAAGCCTGAAATGAAGAGCTCAGGGGAAGCTTTTCTCTTTCCAGCATTGGACAGTAAATGTAGTTTAAAAAAAATAGCAAAATGTAGAGTCTCGTTTGCTAGTTTTTAAACTGATGAAATATGTAGAACGTTTATTAATAACGGTCTCGAGTAGGCAACTTGGCACAAGTCATGTGATAACTTTTGGTGTACAATTCTAAATTGTATTCGATTTTACTTCTTGATAGTGTTGTAATACATCCGATAGCCTATTACCCGTGTGATAGGCTATCGGATGATATATGGAATTCATCCATTAATTATCCAATAATATATGGAATTCATCCATTAATTCCATAAATCTTGTAAATTTGGTCTTTTATACTATTGCTACGGATATGATAATAATTCTTTGTATTTGTCGGATGTCTTTCTCGTCATCCGATAATGATTTTTCAGATGAATTCAGAAAAATCTGATAACAATGGCTTAAGAGTACTTATATTCTTCCGCAAACATTTGTCAATGGGTAATGTCATATTTAGAGCAGTTGCTACTCTTCCTTTTCCTCCAGAGCAGAAAGAGTACGGAGTGGAACTAGGACTCAACTCGAATGTAACGAATAACGAAAACGTGGACTGTCCATCTTAATGATGATAATCTTTCTTTACAACACAAACTGTCTGCCTGAAAGAAACTGATGCATAATTGATTGTTCAAAAAGCATCCCATTGGCCGACCAGGCCGATTGTACGTCACGGAAACGTAACGTAGAATCAGCTTGGTCGGTCAAAGTTTATACCCACTTTAAGGCATCAGCCTACAGCTTTGAGTACCCAGGAATCTGGGTGCGTAACTCTCTAGGAATTTTTCATGGATGGCTTGTTCTCATTACTTCGGCCCCATTTTGAATTTGATCTAACTTAGGAGAGGTAAGATTAGCTCTCTTGTGCCACAGGACGGAAACAGAAAAAAAAAAAAAAAAAAAAAATTATAGTAGATACTCCAATGACTTTATAACATACATGTGTAAATTCAATCGAAAACTTTTTAATATTCTGCTATCTCTTATTTTCAATTTTATTAAAATCAATAGATATTAATAAGTAAAAATTAAAAATTTTTTTGTAGCAAGTTGTTTTTACATCAAATTGTTTCTTAATCTGCTTAAATTAAATAAGTTATTATACTTTTGACATAGATCTTTATTTACAACATTCCAAAATATGTATTGATAAAAATAGAGACATTGATTTTTTGATTAGGGTAGAGTACTTGGACAACAATGTTTTCCTCATGCAAACATGCATTTAAAATTAAAATTGATAAATTTCGAAAAAATAAAATTTAATGAAAAAATAGCAAAGTATTCGATTAGTAAAGGTGCACGTTACTTGATGTATTATTAAATTCTGTGCTTTTACAATCAATTCTTAAGGTTGATTGTAGCCTTTTTGATTATGCACGCGATCTCTAGAAGATGGCAGAAGAAATTTAATGCTTTTTATACGATATTTTTTTTTCTCAAAATTCTCGAAAACTTAAGTATATAGAGCCAAATCCTTTCTTCCTATTTAATTCCTCTGTTAACATACTGTTTATAAATTTGAAAATCGAATTTGTTAATTATCTACAAATTTCTAGTCAGAAAATTTGAATAGAATTTTCATGGTAAGACGTTTAAGAAATTTCAGTTTTAGAAGTGATGAAAACAAGAAAAATATATAATTTAATACTGTACATTAATATGGTCTGTCCAGGAAATATCAGATTTATCATTCATTAACAGGCTGTCTCTATTGTGGATCTGACCATATCCATGATGGGTCTGGGTAAAAGGACTTCTTAGTGCTCACAGGGTAGAGACAAAAAGTATTAGAAAGAGAATTCTTTCAAAAACTTTTTTGGCTCTTTCCGTTCTTTTCAAACGTAGAGTCTAAGAAGGATGAAATAGAACAGAAACAGTTGCTTTCATATATCGTATTTTCGTGGAATGACCGGCATGCCGCATATAAATGGGAGAGATCAACATGCTGGGTAACCTCGAGATTTCCGGCATGCCGGTTAAACTGCAACTAAAATATAAAATTAATCAGATCTAACAAAACTAATTAAAACTTTCTTCCGAGTTCAATAAATAATAACATTGTATTTTTAATAAAATAAAAGACAAAACTGTCCAAAAAGGATCACCATTTATTACTTGTGTTCCAAGACTAAAACATTTTCGGCGACTGACCTTCCTTTTTAGGCTACTTGTCGCCGTAAAGTTCACAAAAAGTCCTTTTAAAAACACAAAACATCCAATTAAAATTTTATAAAATTTCT